TTTATTACTTTCTTCACTTCCTTTTCATTTATATCCCTTTTCATTGTAACATGTTTCGATTATGTGAATTCCATACACTCGGATGATGAACTCGAGGTAATAATTTATTTGGATAGTTGTTCATGATATTTCTCTGTGGTATATCATGAAGGTTTCTTAATGTTTCCTTAAGTAATAAATACAAAAAACAACTTCAAACTACTTTTAATTTCTTCATTCATTTGATCACCACATTAATCATTTGAATGTCCCTTTTTATTCCGTGTTACTTTTCTATTTAGATTCTACTCTTAGAAATGGTCATCTCATCAGATGCTTTTCATTATTATCCTTTCACATTACTTTGTTTAATTTCCTAATTACATGTTTTTGTTTTCTTTTTATATTTCTTTATTCATCTCCTCTATCTGTTTGATAGTGTCTCTTAAGTTTCTCTTGCTTATTTCTTTCTATTTTATATTCCATGTTTTGTACTTCTTCTTACTTTCACTTCTTTTAATTACTAGCTTCTTCTTTCTTAATTAAGTCTTTCATCTCTTACTTTATACTTAGTGTATTCATATATGTATTTTGATTTCTTGTTTGAAGTTCTGTTCTTTTTTTCTTTAAATATCTTCTTTCCTTTCTTATCAAATTTTATTTATAACAAAATTGTGTTTCTTGGGATTATTTCAGTCTTTTAATATTTTAAATTTGGTAAACAAAAATATGAAATGCCTACTACCAAAAATCTTTGAAAATTAGTTTGGTATATTCTAAAATTATCATAAACCATTGAACAAAATACTTATTCTTTTGTTTCTATTTCATCTTTCTTACTCTTTTATTAATTATTCTTATATTCTATTATTAATTTGTGTTTATCAAGAAGAATAAAAAAAGACCAAAATAAAATAATCAATTCAATCATTTTCAATTAAATTCTTTGAATGAACATAATAAAAATGTATAGTATTACTTTTATTTATTTTAGTACTTCATACTAACATATTAATATTCGAATATATTTATAATTATACTTTAATTATGTTTTGATTTCTTTTAATAAATACACACTACCATTAAAAAATATCAATAATAAACATTCTATACAAATTGTCATTTCTTACAATTTCTTATTTGAACTAACTCAATGAATAACAAATAAAAAATGAACAAAATACAAAGAATAAATACATAATGAAAGAAGAAAATAAAAGTAGACAAGAATAATACTAAGTGATAATAAATGGAAGAATATAAAAAGAAGAATAAGAGTTAATGTGATATTAAATAGAGAATAAATAGAGATGAATAAGAAAAAAAAATAAAGAAGAAAAGAAAATAAAAATTCATAGAAGAACAACAATAAATAAATAAAGAAGAAATAATAATAAATTAAAAATAAATTGTTATAAATGAATCATATAAATGATATTAATATCAATTATTCTCTTATACTTCACTTATTTTATTCATATTTTATATATTTACATATGATTAATCAAATATTTAATTCATCCAATAGTTTATATTGTAATTATTTCATAATTATTTATATTCATTTTTAATTTGTTGTTTCATTATTTCAATAATGATAAATCAACATATAATTAATATAAATATGATTATAAATGTTATTATTCATTTAATTAATAACCATTCTAACAATTTGTATGATAATATTTGTGTTAAAATGTTGTGTTTTCATTATTATTTATTCATTCATAATATATTCATGACATTTTCTATTTCTTATGAATTTATGAATTTATTCTTTTATTTTCTTTTAATATCAATGTTTATTCTTTTATCGTGTCATTTTTGATAATATTGGTTATTCATTCATCTCAAATGGATATGAATTAATTCAATTTTATAATAACATTAAACATGAATGAAATATAGGAAATATTTTATAGACATATGAATAAAAGATAAAGAAAAATACGAAAGGAAAAGAAAAAGAGAGAAACACAATAATTAGAAGAATATCAACTGAATAACAAAAGCCAACAACATAAACACAGGTGATGCACCATCAAGATTATTGTGATTATCCGAAGTGTCATCAGAACTAACAACAGTTTTATCATGTGAAATATCAGAAGTAGTTGTATTTTTGTTATCTTTTTTTTCATTTTGTTGTTGTGGTTGATTTTGTTGTGATTGTGATGATGGTTGTTGTGGTTGTTCTTCTGGTTTTGTTTGTGGGGGTTGTGGGTTATTATTTTCTGGTTGTGATTGTGGAGTTGAAGTTGAAGAGGCAGAGTTAGTCTGTGGTTGTGATGGTTGGTTTGTTGTTGGAGTTGATGAAGTTTGTGGTGATGAGGGAGAAGTTGGTGGAGTTGGTGATGAAGGTTGTGAATCTGCTTCTGGTGTTTGTGAAGTTTGTGATGCTGGTTTTGGTGTTACTGGTGATGAGTTTCCTTCTACTGGTTGTGATAGACTTTTATCTCCTTGTGATGACACTGTTGCTGCACTTCCTTGTGATACTGTTGCTGTATTTCCTGAAGTTACACCCTCTTTTGCTCCTTGTGATGATGTTGTTGTTTCAGCTATCAAATGTATATTATTATGAATATACTGAATGGTATTAGTCAACCGATTATATGTTTGATGTTGTGTATTTTCATCATCGTTATATTTATTCTCATGTTTATGTTGTTTAGTTCTTGTTGAATCAATCATGTTATCTTCACGTTTATTATCATCTTTATTTCCTTGTTCATTGTATTGTTCAGTCTCCAATCCTTTACTAATTACAACAATTAATATCAATAGAATCGTTGTTTATTTCTAATTAGTTCTTCTCTTTAAATAT